CAATGTTGAATGGATTATCACCTGGTAATTACCTTGCTATCTTATGCTAGAGGGATCGTGAGTGTCCATTACACAGGGGTGCTCCCTGAACTTGGCAGAAGGATCGTGTTTCTAATTTAGTGAAAGATCTGCGTTTCCAATCTGTTTTCTGGTCTGTTAAACAGGCCGCTGGAGAAAGAAGCACCTGACCTTCCGCATCTTGAACCTGCCCTCCACCCTCTCACCCCACACAGCCCGGGCATCTTTGCTTCAAGCCTTCAAGTATTGGAGCAATGTGGTCCCCTTGACCTTCCGGGAAGTGAAGGCTGGCTGGGCTGACATCCGCCTCTCCTTCCATGGCCGCCAGAGCACATACTGCTCCAATACCTTTGATGGGCCTGGTAGGCACCAGTTCTCAGCTCTCATCTCACAGAACTCTGAGATTACCTGTGTCTCCTTGAGTCAGTGCCTCTAGAACCTTAATGTTCAGGATGCCCCTTATGCCTGCCTGTACCTTATGTTCTCTGATCCCCTTCTTACATTCCCCAGGGTACAATTGGTCACCTACCTGGGATCTTACCAAGGCTTTTCTTTGAAGGTTATACCTCCTTCCCTGTCTTAATTTCCCCTATCAAGGCACACCTGAGAGAGAAATGGGTCAGAGAGAGAGAGAGTGGCTGGAGAGGAAAAGGGACTGTGATGGACATCCCTGAGAGATTTGGATAATGACAGGAATCTGAAAGAAGTGTTCAAGAGAAAGTAACTAAAACTGGAGGAATTTTAAGGGAATGGAGTGATTAGAATTTATGCAGGCAGGGATGCTGCTGTGTTCTGGGCTCTGACTTCCTTCCTGTCCTCCTTTGCCTTTATCCAGGAAAGGTCCTGGCCCATGCTGATATTCCAGAGCTGGGCAGTGTACACTTTGATGAAGATGAACTCTGGAGTGAGGGGACCTACTGGGGCGTGAACCTGCGTATCATTGCAGCCCATGAACTGGGCCATGCCCTGGGACTTGGGCATTCCCGATACACCCAAGCACTCATGGCCCCTGTCTATGCTGGCTACCGGCCCTACTTCAAGCTGCATCCTGATGATGTGGCAGGGATCCAGGCTCTCTATGGTCAGTCTCTCTTCCTAGTGAGCATGAGGGTCAGTTGGATTAGCATCTCTCTAGATTTGAAGAGACAGGTCTGGCTTCTATGGAGGGAAATGGCTTGATTTCTTTCTCTTCCTACAGCCCAGTTTTTCAGACTTCTTCGTTTTCAGGAATAGTTTCTCTCTGACTCTTGCATGTCTAACCTTCCTCCCAGGTCTCTCTCCTCTCACACCTGTTCTTAGAGACAGAGAATACATATTCTAGTAAATGTCCATCACCATTTCTGGTGCCTCTCAAAACTAAAATGTCTCTTGCAAGGATATTGCACATCACCAAGGAAAAGTCCCTAGTATTCTTTCTCCCCCTCTCTGTGGGGCCACTGAGCAGAACTTACAATGGACAGGTGGAGAGGTCAGGTGCTGTATGTCTCTCCCAAGCAAATATTATTTTACTTTGTAGGTAAGAAGAGGCCAAGAGATGAGGAAGAAGATATGGAGGTGCCCACTGTACCCCCAGTGCCCACAGAACCTGGTCCCATGCCAAACCCCTGCAGTGGTGAACTGGATGCCATGATGATGGGTGAGACCCTTCCCCTCAAGATGTAGGCAGACAGTGGAGGCAGCTCACTGATCTTGAGGCATAGATAGATGGTAATGACATGAGACTACAGCATGAGCAATGGAGGTTAGACCCCAGGCAGGTATTGGTGACCAAGGAAGAAGATATGCATATAAAAAGGGAGGGTTCAGAGCCAAGTTAAAAGGGGACCAAGCAGGTATTTATTGAGGTTGGTATACTCTAAGGGCCATTAGAACACTTCTGGAAATGCAGCAAGATAGAATTAACTAGAATGTCTATTAAAGAGGGCTTTATACCTGGTTGAAGACAATTAGGAGCCCACTTTGGGGTAGGGCATGAGACTCCCAAGAAGAATGGCTATCTGCAGAGCTTTTGTTTTTGTTGATTGGACCAGAGATAAAATACTCTAAACAATAAAGGAGAGGCTGAGCACTGGGTCCTCTTTCTCTGTCTTTAATTTTTTTACTTGAATTAAAGTTGAATGGATTTTTGAAGAATTTACCTGTGGGCAGTAGGGCAGATTAGCAGTCTACCTGAGACACCTACAAGTCTTTGTCTTTTTGACGGTGTCTTTTGCCTTGCTGATGACACTTTTGTTCTCAGGGCCCCGTGGGAAGACTTATGCTTTCAAGGGGAACTATGTGTGGACTGTGACAGATTCAGGACGGGGGCCCATGTTCCAAGTGTCTGCCCTTTGGGAGGGACTCCCAGGGAACCTGGATGCTGCTGTCTACTCTCCTCGAACACAATGGATTCACTTCTTTAAGGGTAAGGGGGCTAGTTGCAGTGTCTTACTTGACGACTAATTATAAGGAAGCCATAAAGGGAGGGGGAGTTGAGAATTTCTGAAAGGGTGGAATAGAGGGACCAAAAGCTATCACCTGACGACAGAAGTAACTTGTTCTTTCCTTATATACTCTCAGGAGACAAGGTGTGGCGCTACATTAATTTTAAGATGTCTCCTGGCTTCCCCAAGAAACTGAATAGAGTAGAACCTAACCTGGATGCAGCTTTCTATTGGCCTTTCAACCAAAAGATTTTCCTCTTTAAGGTATAAAGTTCGAAGCAAGAGCAATCCTTTCTTAGCAGGTGTGGGCTTATACTTAAAAGACTTGATCTTAAGGGAGACCTGCTGCTGTTGCGGTGGGTGGAGGATAAACCTCTGGTGCTCTCTCCTCATCCTTCTCTTCTCCCTGTCTACTTGACACCCAGGGCTCCGGGTACTGGCAGTGGGACGAGCTGGTCCGAAATGACTTCAGCCGCTACCCCAAACCAATCAAGGAATTGTTTTCTGGAGTGCCAGACCAGCCCTCGGCAGCTATGAGTTGGCGAGATGGTCAAGTCTATTTCTTCAAGGGGAAAAAATACTGGCGTCTCAACCAGCAGCTTCTGGTAGAGAAAGGCTATCCCAGAAATACTGCCCACAACTGGATGCATTGTCATCCCCAGACTCTAGGCACTACCCGCTCAACTGGGGACAACACTTCTTCAGCCACAGGCATAACCTTGAATACCACTTCCTCCACTATGGAGACCACCTTGAACCTTGACCACTCACCCACAGACACAATCTTGGATATTATGACCTCAGCTATAAACTCCACCACCCTTTCACTTCCTGCTAATGTCCCCTTCCAGAGGCCTAAGATCTAATCAAATGTCTGCTCACTGGAACTACACAGGCCTCAGAGGGGTTCAGGGGGTCCTGAAGGATGAGTGGCGTTGGTGCAAGGGATGGAGTCCTTTCTTTGACACAATCTCCAGAGAGAGAACTCTCAGCTGCTTTCTGTCTCCTTTTATTTTATTTTTTTCTCATCATTTTGGATACAGAATCATTAATAAAATGCGTCATCAATTTACAATCTCCAGATTTGACATTCTCTTATTTAACAGATGCCAAACTATGTAACCAGACTCTATGTCTCCTAACCTGTCATTAACCTTTACGTTTAAAGCACACCTGTACTTGAGATCCCATCTAAAAGTCCCCTTAATAACAATCTTATATTCTAAAAGCATCTAAAAATGCCTACATTTGTTCTCATAAAACTGGTTGAGCTGCTTTCTCAGAGTTTCCTAAAGGGCAGGCTTTGCATGTCAATCCCCCTGCCGCTAACATTAACTATGCTTATCTTAAATCCGTATGTAAAGTAAAGGAGGGTCTATTAGAAAGAAGATATATTTTTACTATCCTTTTCTCCCCTGGATGAATACCATATCCTATCCTTAATTAAGTAGGCTATATATGGTGGGCTTTGTGCAATAGGCATGATAACTATCTACTTAGGCTTGAGAGACTGAAAATATGAACTTGGATTCTTGGTTGATATAATCAATCATGGTGCCTAGAGTTCCTATAACATTTCCCAGAATGACTGTTGATATTTTTCTGTTTTGTTCTCAATGTCCTGAGAGATAGTAAAACAGCCTTTAAGTCATGAACCATCTGTTATATTCTTGGCCATCTAGAATTTAAAATATACTCATGCCTTCTGTAAGGCTGAGTATAAAAAAGTCCCAATTACATAAAAAAGAGTTTGGTTTCCCACAAGTGCAGCCTTGCCAAATACTTGCCCTCCTCACTTTGACCTTGTCAAGACAGTGGGAGGTGGAACACCTTCACCATACAGATACTACAGAAGGAGCATGAACCATGGACCTCAGGTCCCTAAAAGTTTCATCTGCTTCTTTGCTCTTTCTTCTCTGCTCTTCTGGGAACTTTCCCCTTAACTCTGATTCAGCCCCAGCTCCATCCATTTTATCTTTCTCTTAGATAGCAGTTCCAGCTGTGTTATGAGGAAGACAATGGTGGAAGGAGGCCTCAGTAAGTTCTTTTCCTGACAGGTGGCAACAGCTGGGGAAGCTGGATACCTGGGTCCTATTCTCCTTAGATAAAGTACAAGAAAACAGCATAGTCAGTAAAATGAACAAGGGCTTTGGAATTCTTGAGAATCACATTAATTTGTTTGTGACTTTGGGCAAGCTAATTAACCTCATTGAATCTTGGATTCCCAATCCTGTAGGGTTGTTGTGTTAAATGACAATATTCCATATAGAGTGCTTGGCACCAGTGTCTTGCACATTTCTGTTTAATAAAGGCTAACTATACTGGGTGTAGTGACACATGCCTGTAATCCTAGCTACTTGGAAGGCTGAGGCAGGAGGATCAGGATGGGTAGTTCTTCCTCTAGCTATCTGGGTGTGTAGCACCTACAGTGGTCTATCCATCAAGGGTACCTCTGGTCAGATATTTAGGGAACAGAAAAATTTTTAATATGGCTATCTCTTTATTTTGGGGGTACAGAGTAAGAAAAGAGCAGCAACAGTAAAGGCCAGTTACCATAGGTTTAGTTTTCAATGCCATTTTATTTACATGTTCCCATGTTCTTTCTCCCTCCCATCATAGCCTTGCTGCCTAGGGGAGGGCTGTGTCTTCATGCTATCTAGGAAAACAGGGATTTGAGAGACTGAAAACATGACATGAACTTGGGAAGGAGAGTGAGAGTAGGGAGAGTTAGAAAGGGTTAGTGGCTGGTACAAAATTCTGGTTAAAGAGAAGAAAATGAGTATCATCCACAGTGAGAGGCGGGGAAGGCACTTGTCTCCCATGCAGCCCTGAAGACCAGGCTCTTTTGGGCAAAAGGGCAGGACTCTCGTATGAGGACAATGCTCTCTTCTTGGAGCAAGAAGCCAGCTTTTGGAGAGTCTGGTGCTGAGGCAGTTGCTGTGGTCTTCCTAGGTTGAGAAAAAGGGGGATGGTGCTCCCCACTGAGGTAGGAGAAGGGGGCTCAATCTATGGGAGCCAGGGGGCAAACCCTACTAGAAACCCAACTACCCCTTAAGGAGGAGCTCTTTTGTGTCATGCTCTCCATTAAAAAGCTATCACATGCCTTAGGAGGCTCCCTGATTTTCTACAGGTCCTACAAAAACAAAGCCCCTTATTTTAACATTGTGGGGTACACTGAATCAGTATTTAAAAGGTTATTTGGGTGATGGCTCTCCTTAGTTTGGAGGGAATTGGGGAGTCAGTATTTCTAGGGACCACAGTACCTGTATTATTGGTCAGAGGTTGTTGGGGACCGCAAATCAAGATGGCGCCTGGCAGTTTGCTAGGAGGAGTGGTTTGTGAGGCATTAAGATGATGGGGATTCCTTATTGGCTGACTGCTGTATCTATATGATGCTAATTGAGTCAAGCTGTGTGTAATCAGTTAGGTATATATACCTCTGCTGGTTTTCAATAAAGCGGCTCCCGCTACCTTGAGTTCCTGCTCAGTTCCGGCTGAGTTTCCCCACAATAAAGCAGTTCCCGCTTCAACCTTCAAGTTGCTTGTCACCTCCCGGTTATTTGGCCCAGCCGGACTGTGGCAAGAGGTAGGTACTCTACTTCCATTCGTCTCCCCTCCCCATGAGATTCCTCTGTTTCTGTCCCTGAAATACATCCCTACAAGTCTGGTCTGGAGCACAAATCCCATCCCAAGTCCAAGAGGTGGGGAAGTTTGTGTGTAGGTTCTATGGGCCCATACTAGGGGCAGGGGCATCAGCAGAGGGTTAGGTTTGGATGGGAGCAGAGGGTGTGGTGAGGGGTAGAGTGGAACCACAGTCAGAATCCAGGTTCAGGATGGTGTAGGGGGCTGACATCTGGATGCTTGGTCCCAGTTGGCGCTCTTGAAGACTCTGGAGATAACTCTGAAGGGGTAGAGGGCAGAGAGGGCAAGAGGAGGAACCTGGATCAGAACACTACTCCCACCCTGACCACCTCCATATGCCCTCTGCCACAGTGGCCCCCCAGGCTGTCCCATTCTTCCCACTCACTGGAGCCAGACTGTCAGCAGGGCTCCGGGTATTGGCAGGCAGCTGGCGCCGATAGCTGCCCTCACATGGTCCTACCCCAGATGGAGTTCGGTGCCACTTGGCCTCTTGCTGATGATGGATCCGAAGAAGTTGGAGACGCCTTCGCTGGTGGCTCAAGACCACTGCTTGGGAGGGAGTAATAAGGACTCTAATCCTTTTTAGGCCCTGAATCCCACCCCCAAATAGAGTCACTCTACAGAAGCCCATTTCTTCTTAGGGTTCTCTCAAGGCTCAGCTTCCCTTCAGTTGTTGGGATTCTCCTATTTTTCCCTCCTGGACTTCCCTGGGATCCTCTCCTTTCCTCTCATACCTGTCCCAAATAACTCTTTGTTGCATCCCCTGCCAATTTTGCTTCTGATTTTTACCCTGAGCTTCTTTGGCTACTTGTACCCTAACTTTCCTTTATGCTCTGCCCCATTTACTTTGGATATCCTCCCCGATCCTTGTCCCTCAAGTGTTTTTCTCCCCTTCCCCTTCTCAAGTCTGAGAACTGGGGACATGAGTAAGCACAGGCTGGCTGTTTGTATACCGCAATACTAACTCACCGTTGGCGTGGCCTCCATGTTCCTCAGCCATGAGCTTCCACTGGGCCAGGGCCCCAAGAGCCCCCAAAGCTGGCCAGGTCCCCAGTAAGACCCAGCTATACCAGCAGAGAGGAGACAAGGCTGGAAGTGCCTGCAGGCGTTGGCCCAACCGACTGCCCAGTGACAGCCCCTCCAGGAAGTAGTCAGCACAGGCCACCAGCACTGCAGCACCCAGCAAGGATGTGCCCAGAACTGTGAATGGACGTGGCCACCGAAGCGTGAGCAGGGCTCCCAATAATGCCAGCCCCACCAGCCCCCCGGCTGGCACCCAGGCTGATGGGGGCTGGTAGATGGGCTCAGTGCTCAGCAGAGCCCCAGCACCCAGGGTCAGACCTAATAGGAGACCAGTCAGGAAGAGCCCAACACTGCGAACTAGCATGGTGACCAGGCCGCAGAGGAGTCCGATGCCCAGTGCGATGCCTGCGCTCACCTCCAGGCTTAGCTGTGTCTCCAGCACCTGTTCCTTGTGGCACAGCAGGAAGATGACCAGAGCTCCAGACAGCAGGCCCGAGAGAAACATCACTGCCTTAAAACAGCGGTAGCCTGGGAATGGAGGCAGGAAGTACTGAGAAGCAGAAAGGAGGTTCTACAGGGATGCCTGTGGTGAATTGTAAGAGGAATGATTAACCAGAGGAGGAAGACAGGAGCACCAAGGGGACCTCAAAGAAAGGGGGGGAAGGAATAAATTTGGGGAGGAGAAGCATTCAGGAACTGTGAGGAGACAGTGGTGGGGGGGATCAGGAGATACGATAGATGTGTTGAGGAAAGAATAGGAAGGTCTAGTCTTTCCAGGGATGGCATATAAAAAGAAATTGCCCACAGGCTGGTTCAGGTTTCTGGTAAAGTCTGAAGCATGGAAGGTAATTTGGGAATGGAATTTTGAGGTAGGAAGCAAGAGGAGAGAAAATGATAGACACCAGAGATCAGAGCTGAATGACATGGGCAAGGAGGAAGGATAACAAGCTGGCAAGGGCAGCATGAGCCTCTTTGAAGGTAGGTGTTCCTTGATAGAGGAGGTGAGGTGGCTCAGAAGCAAAGAATAAAATTTGCATCATCCTTGAGGGTAATAGTCTTGGGCAGCTGTCCCCCACCGACCTTGGCCCTGCCCTCACCGAAGCAGCAGTAGATGATTCCAAAGCAGCAGCAAAGGGCACACACCAGGGCAGGTGCTAATTCAGGATTGTCCTGGGGTTTCAAGACACATCTTGGGTCTGGAGGCTCTGGGAGTTGTTGATTAAAGGGCCTGGGGTCAGATGTCACAGTTAAGGGCAGCAAGGCTTTCTCCATGATTGAAGAGAACGTGGTCATAGAATGGAAGGTTGGTGTTGGCTCCTCTCATCTATCCATGCATGTCTTAAAGGGTTGGGAAACCTACAAGGGGACAGGGGTAGGAACTCAGGCACCCATGTATCTTGAGGACTCTGTACCTCTTTTTTTCTGTTGAAAAATTGCCAATCAGAAGAAAGAATGGCCTTCTTGGGGTAACTGAAGAAATCTACAGGATTGTGTTGAGAGGAGCAGGATGTTTGTTTCCTACCCTCTGGAAAAAGGACACTAAATAAAACTTAAATGAAAATTTTATAATGAGCTTTTGCCCTGCCCCGCACTCCCTGCCCAGTTTTTCAGGGTCAGTGTAGGAGAATTAGGAAGCCCTGAGTCTGTTGAAAGCCCTAATGGGACTGGGGGCTAAAGCAGCTAAAAAGAAAACTTGCCTCTGCAGCTGGGACTCAATACTACCACACTGGATTGGGAAGGGTGGGGTTAACGGCGGGGGATGGGGGGGGTGGAAAGGAGGAGGAAGAGGAGAGAATGAGTCATGGTAGGGTATCTGGACAGCTGCTCCAATCCTAGGGAAGAAAGAGGGAAAAAATAATCTCCCCAAACAAAAGATACCAAAAGAGTTTGGGATAAGGAATTAAGCAGAGACAGTCACCCTCAGTTTGTCAGGGTTTTAAAGCCTTGGCTTCATGCTGAGGTGGAGTTGTTGGGGGGAAGGGTGTGTGCAGCCACAGTTAAAATCCCATGGCCCTATATAGAATAAGCAGGCACCTTGCCCACAGACATCTCACATCCTGGTAGCCCCTTGCTCCTCCCTAAGAACACTGAAGACATTTTTCACACCCTTCCCTTTCCCCAGGGATGTCAGGGCTGCCAATGGCATTTGAATACAGATCCTGAAGGGAGATCACCAAGGAGGAGTTGTCATTTGGGGTATCTTGGGATGGCATGGATGCAGGCACTTTCCTTCAGCTGTCTTTTGGACATCAAGGTCCTAACAGGCTGAGAGTTGGCTTGGGAAATTCCTTTTCCTCAATCCGTTTATAAGTCTGGGACCCTAAACAAGAAGAGGTTGGGGAGGGAAGGTTAGCTACTCACCACCCTGTCAGGGCTCAGGAAAGGAGCGGGGTGGAAATGCTTTCCTATACCCCCAGCAGCATCCTAGCCCGGAGGTTCAGAAGTTGGGATGGGTGTCAGGCGTAGGCACCCCCAGGGCCACTGTTCTTTGCTTCCTAAACTCTTGCAAGTCGTAGCCCAAACCCTGTGAGCTAAACGCAACTAGCTGGGGGGTGGTGGTGGTGGAGGAAGGGGACCGGGTGTGTGTTTGAGGGGGGAGTGACATCACGTGGCGGGCCCCTCCAATCCTTTCCCCTGCGTGTGGGAGGATCCAGTTGCCAACTATTCTAATCCAGGATCAAGACTCCCAAAGATAGCAGGAAAGGGTCTTGGAGATCATAGCAAGAAGTAGGGGCAAAGTATGAATACTTAGGAGAAGATTTCACAACTTGAAGCTCTCAAAGTCCCAAGTGGGCTCCCAGCACCCCCCTAGCTCTAGCTTGGTTTCTTCCACTTCCCAGAGAATTGGAGTATTGTCTTTTGGAGAACCGGGTAGTCTGGATCGGGGAACCGCGAAGGGGCTTTTACTGATCTGGGGGAGCTGGCGGGGACTCCTGGGGGGGAAAAACTTGCGGAGCAAGACGGGGCACTAACAGAATTGTAAGGCTAGACATGTACGCTGAGAGGACTCTGCAGGGTCTGCGTGGGGACCGGGGCGAAGGTAGACGTCTACCGAGAGGATCGGTATGCAAATGAGATGCAAAATAGCACGCAGATTAGTGCAGTTTTCTGCTGCACTTGGTTGTGATTCTGAGTCCTGCAGAGCTACGCTCACAGTCCCCTGGCCTCTCTCTGTGACACGGTGTGGGAACCGCGTCCAGAGGGGGCGGTTCTGGGGCGTGGGAGCTGTAGTTATTAGGGGCAATTCGCCAGCTGGGTCAGGAGCGGAGGAGGCTGAGGGCTGCTGGAAAAGGAGGGGCAGCGCTTCAGAGCCAGGGCTGGGGCTGGCCGGGGCACCCACTCCTTCGCTCCATCTCTACAGGATACAAAGGGGCCTCTGTCTTGGCTACAGCCGTCAAGGAAGATATCAAGACGGTGGCTTCTTATGGCTCCCCGTTTTGTCTGCAAGGGAAACAGACTATGCGCGGCCTGGTAGCTGTTCTCCATCTCCCAATCTGGGCAGAGCCCAGGAATACAGCCAGAGCAATTCTGAGAGTCTGTTCCCAGCCCGCAGGCATTGCTGCAGAACTTGCTTCGTTTGCAGAGGCTCAACCTGCGGGGACAGCCATTGCAGCACGCGGAGGGCCCTTTAAGGGGTGGGGCCAGTGCTCCACCGGGCCGCCTCCAATTCGATTCGGCGCTAGCTAGACTGGCTCGCATCTCTGCCAACCGTTTTTTCTTTTTCTTCCCGTCTCTTCCCTGGTGACCCCGGAAGTGGAAGTAGGCTCAGGTCGGTGGCCGCGGCGGGGATGGAAGGCGGAAGCAGAGGGTGAACGGGAGGCGGAGCCGGGGGAGCTGCACTCGTAGCTCCCCCTGGCCCCAGGCCCAGCTGCTCAAGGGGGAGGAGTTACCGCCGCTCTTCGGTACGTTACTTTCACCTCTTCTATCCAGCGGGTCGGAGGGTTCCCTGGGGCAACCCTGAGCTCCGCCCCCAGCTTTTCCTTGAGGGCCGCACAGTCCCCACCCTTTTCTGACAGTCTGCGGCGCCCCCTTTTCTTTTTCTTAAGAGTTACCCCCCGGACCACACCCTTTGCCGTCCTTTCCTCTCTTCCTGATTGAAGATTATAGCTTCCTGGGGAATGAAGAAAGACTACGGAGATCGGTGGTGTGTGTGTGTGTGTGTGTGTGTGTGTGTGTATGTATGTATGTGTATGTTCAAGCAAGGATGCAGTTAATCTGGTTCTGGCTTATTGTTAGGGCTAATGAATGCCCTAGGAAAACTTGGGATAATGAGGGGGATGCCTACACTGAATATGTCCCTACTTTAAGATTGCTTAACTCTTCTCTTGGTTCCCACCTTGACCATCCCCATCTTGATACCTTTGTTCCAGGCATCTGAACTTATAATGATGGCTGTGACCTAAAACCCTCAGGAAGCCCTGGGGTCATGGCCCAGAAGCCCCCTGGAGAAAGAGGGTTGTGTGGAGCCCACCAAAGTGGTGGTGCCTCCCTCAGGACTTTAGGATCCTCCGCGGACCCTGAAATACTTTCATTCTCAGGACTCAGGGACTCAGCAGGGACTGCTCCTAATGGTACCCGCTGCCTCACAGAGCACTCTGGTCCTAAGTACACACGGCCCCCAAACCCATCCCACTGGTCGGATCCAAGCCATGGCCCCCCAAGGGGTCCAGGACCACCTAGGGAAGGAGAGGACCCTGATCAGAGTGAGGCATCTTCAGAAGAGTCGGGAGTGGACCAGGAACTCTCAAGAGAGGGTGGGAACCCTTCTTTTCTTTCCATTCCATCTGCTTGTAACTGCCAGGGAACCTCTGGAATCCCTGAAGGGCCATATTCTGAGGGAGGAGATGGTTCTTCTAGCAACTTTTGTCACCATTGTACCTCTCCAGCCTTGGGGGAAGATGAAGAGTTGGAAGAGGAATATGATGATGAGGAACCTCTTAAATTCCCCACTGATTTTTCACGTGTGTCCAGCGGAAAGAAACCCCCATCTCGGAGACAGCGACATCGCTTTCCAACCAAGGAGGATACTCGGGAGGGTGGACGTAGAGATCCCAGATCTCCTGGTCGACATCGGTTGGGCAGAAAACGAAGTCAGGCAGATAAGCGCAGAGGTCTGGGATTGTGGGGAGCAGAGGAACTATGTCAGCTTGGACAGGCAGGCTTTTGGTGGCTGATTGAACTGCTGGTATTGGTGGGAGAATATGTGGAAACTTGTGGCCATCTCATCTATGCATGCAGGCAGCTAAAAGGCAGTGATCTGGACCTTTTTCGAGTTTGGGTGGGAATCTGGGCAGGGAGGATGGGGGGCTGGGCCCAGATGATGTTCCAGTTTCTCTGCCAAGGATTTTACTATGGGGTAGGATTGTTCACCCGTTTTTTTAGGTTACTGGGTGCTTTGCTGCTCCTGGCACTGGCCCTCTTTTTGGGCTGTCTACAGTTGGGCTGGCGGTTTCTGGTGGGACTGGGTGACCGTTTAGGATGGAGGGATAAGGCCACCTGGCTCTTCTCTTGGCTGGATTCTCCAGCCTTGCAGCATTGCTTGACTGTGCTGAGAGATAGCAGGCCATGGCAGCAGCTGGTAAGAATAGTTCAGTGGGGTTGGCTGGAGTTGCCGTGGGTCAAGCAGAGGACTAATAGGCAGGGGAATACACCTATAGCTAGTGGACGCTACTGCCATCCTGAAGAGGAAGTGGCTCGACTCTTAAGCATGGTTGGGGTTCCTGAGGATGAATTAAACCCTTTCCATGTGCTTGGGGTTGAAACCACAGCATCAGATATTGAACTGAAGAAGGCCTATAGGCAGCTGGCAGTGATGGTGAGTACTCTTCCCTGTATTTCCTATTCCTCTTTGTTTCCATATTTTATTTTCTGTTTCAGTTTTAGGGAGACAATAAAGGAAACTCAGAAAATCAATTGAAGCTGACGGATAAAATTCTTAGGACATTTTTGGTACTGGGGATTGAACCCAGGGGAGCTTTACTACTGAACTACAGCCCCAGCCCTTTGCGTCTTATATATTGAGACAGGGTCTCAGTAAGTTGCCCAGGCTGACCTCAAACTTATGATCCTCTTGCCTAGTCTCCTGAGTAGCTGGGATTATAGGTGTGTGCCCCAGTGGCAGGCTCATAAAGACTTATTCTCTGTACTATGGGATCTACCTTCCTTCCATTTAAAGTATTTTTTGTCATGATTTTTGCCCCTGTCCTCCTTTGGAACTTGTTATAGCAAGCATTGTTGAACTCACTCATCCTGGAATAGCTAGATGAAATCCCTTTAGGGTGGGGAAGAGGCCTACTAGTCACAGAGTACCTTAGATGCTCTCCCCTGAATAAAGGAGGATTTTTAAACATGGGGCAATCCTGCTGTCTCTCCTAGACAGGCAAGTGTGGATCTAGTCTGGGAAGATTCAGGGAGTGCACCTGAATGTTTATTCCAGGACCAGGTAGAAAAAACATAGTATTTCTAGATCAGCAACCCAGAATATGAAAGGGTAGGAAAATGAAACATAAATCACAGAGAAGTATATGCATATATATTTGTACCTGAAAGTATGGTTGCTTTTAGTGATAAAGGAGTGTATAGGTAGGAGTTGTGATATTCCATATGCTTGAAGGAAATGGTTTAATGCTAGCATGCAGTCAAATTGCTATTAGAAGTAGGTATTAAGTTGCTATTTTTTATTTTTTAATTTTTAGAGAGAGGGAGAGAATTTTAATATTTATTTTTTTTGTGGACACAACATCTTTGTATGTGGTGCTGAGGATCGAGCCTGGGCCGCACGCATGCCAGGCTAGCCTGCTATCGCTTGAGCCACATCCCCAGCCCAAGTTGCTATTTTTTAGATACATGATTGTTATTGATATTCTTTACAACTAAAACTGTTATGAATGTAAGTAAAGTGTGTAAATTGCAATGGAGACCTACTTCCATTCTTTATGGAGCTGGACTGGTAAAACATCATAGTATGCAAATTACTTCAAAGACTACATGACACCAAAGAGAAATGGGCAACCAAAGTTTCCCTTAATGATTAATGGTACAACCAGGCCTGTAACTTACCAAAGAACTGGAAAATGCATACCCCTTAGTGGATTAGCCTAAGATATTCTTAGTGTAGAAGCAACTGCTTACCCTCAGATTGTTACTACTAGTAGAGTTCTTTTTTGTACCTTTGTGTTTTAGCAGTTATCTCCTGGAGGATATAATTCTTACAAAAATTCTCATTTTCAACTTCTCTTGGAGTGAAAATATGGTTAAGTTCCCTTTACACACCCAAAGTTCTTGTGTGGGCGTCCTCCACTCTGAAGTTCTCTCTTGTTTTGGGCAAGAGTTTGTTAGCTTTTTTTTATAGAGTTTATCACTGACCTTATTAGGCCCCTGTGTAAACGTGTCTAAAAGGCTGTTATATTAGTTTGAGAAGGTAGGAATTTAATAGCATTCTTTGTTGGGGGAGGGGTGGGCATCAGTGAGGAGACTCACTATATCTCTGTATTTTTGGGAACAGGGATAGTAACAATCAGGAAGCTGTAGAAAGAGAGGTTATTATTTGTCATGGAAGAAATACTGAATTATTATAAGCCTCTGACTTTTTTTTTTTTTTTTGATACCAAGGATTGAACTCGGGGACATTCAACCACAGAGCCACACCACAATCCCTTTTTTTGTATTTTATTTAGAGACAGGGTCTCACTGAGTTGCTTAGGGCCTTGCCAAATTTCTGAGGTTGGCTTTGAACTCGCTTTCCTCCTGCGTCAGTCTCCCTAGCCACTGGGATTATAGGCACACACTAGTCTCTGATATCTTCATATGCTATTTCATTTTGGAGACAAAAAAGCAGATTATAGTAAAAGTTTTGGATATGAAAATATTCTAGTTAGAGAAAGGACAAATGTGAACATGTAACATCTTTGGGACTCTTTACCACTGAGCTACATGCCCAGCTATCCCAACTCTTTTTTAAAAATATTTTTTCAGCTGTTGATAAACCTTTATTTTTTTAAAAAATTTATTCATATGCAGTGCTGTGAATCAAACCCAGGGCCTCACACGTTATGCAAGTGCACTACTACTGAGCCCCAGCCCTACCCCCCTATTTTTTTTTTTAAATATTTTTAGTTGTAATAGGGCACAATACCTTTATTTTATTTTTATGTGATGTTGAAGGTTAAACCCAGTGTCTCACATGTGCTAGGCAAGCGCTTTACTAAACACTGAGCCACAACCCCATCCCCAGCCCTTTTTATTTTTTGAGGCAAAGTCTTGCTAAGTTGCTTAGGGCCTCATTAAGTTGCTGAGGCTGGCCTTGAACTGCAGTCTTCCTGTCTCAGCCTCCCAACTTGCTGGGATTACAGGTGTGTGCAACCAAGCCCGGCATCTTTGGAACTCTTTATGGCTGATTATAAAACTGAAGTGCAAGGGCTTAGTATATGTGTGCCAGGTAAAGGGACCAACCATCCCTATTTGCCTATTTGAGGTTGTGGGGTTTCCTGACATGTGGAACTTTCAGTGCTAAATTGGGGTAGTCTCAGGCAAACTGGGATGGTGAGTCTCCCTAGTGCCAGATTCAGTGCAATAACTCCCCCTACCACTAGCCATAGACTTTTTTGTTGTTGTATTGGGGATTGAACACAAGGGTGCTTTACTACAGAGATATATCCCCAGCCCTTTTTATTTTGAGAAAGGTTGTTGCTAGATTACTGAGGCTGGACTCAAAATTGAGGCATCAGCCTCTTGAGTAGCTACAATTATAGGTATATGCCACTATGCCTGGCACATGTATTCTTATTTAATCCTCCTAAGAATTCATGATAGGGGCTGGGATTGTGGCTCAGCGGTAGAATGCTCACCTTGCATGTGTGAGGCCCTGGGTTCGATCTTCAGCACCACATAAAAATAAGTAAATAAAATAAAGGTATTGTGTCCAACTACAACTAAAAAAATTCATGATAGATATATTCAAGGTCATAGAGCTAATAAATGACAGCTGGGATTTGAACCCAGATCCAGGGGCAAAGCCAGCATAATTAATCATATTGAAGGGTTGGGGTTGTAGCTCAGTAGTAGAATGCTTGCCTAGCATGTGTGAGGCACCGGGTTCTATCCTCAGTACCACATAAAATTAAATAAATAATAGTACTATGTTCATCTACAACTTAAGAAAATAAAAGGTATACTGAGTCTTCAAAAGGGTGATGAAAGAGAACTCTGTTATATGGGAATAGACCCAAGATGGGGAGAGGGTTGAAATGGATTTGTGATTAAATCTCTTTGTTTTGGTAGGTTCATCCAGATAAAAATCAACATCCCCGGGCTGAAGAGGCTTTCAAGGTTTTGCGGGCAGCTTGGGACATTGTCAGCAACCCTGAAAGGCGGAAGGAATATGAGATGTAAGTTGGAGATGGGAAATTGTTAGGTGAGATAAAATGAAAATTCCTCAATGGGAGAGGCCCCTGAACTTGTGGATGGAGGCTCTCAGGCAAAGAGAACTGCAGTTACTTTCCTCTGATGAGCCAGGTAGCTCAAGGGGTGAATAGATGCCCCTCTTGTTGTCCCTCCCTCAGTATTCTCTGACTTACAAAGGCTTTCTTTTAGGAAACGAATGGCAGAAAATGAGTTGAGCCGGTCTGTGAACGAGTTTCTGTCCAAGCTACAAGATGACCTGAAGGAAGCAATGAATACCATGATGTGTAGCCGATGCCAAGGAAAGCATAGGTATGATATAGGACAGGGATGGGACAGCCACAGCTCAGGAACTTGGTAACAAAGACTTTCTTCTTGAGTATTTTTGATAATTTTAGGATATAGATGGTGAGGTTTGTACCTTAGCCGTACTATCAAGAGGTTGATTCAGATTAGCAGTAAGACAAAAAAAATAGCTAAGATAGAAAATTGAGGGCATAGTGTAAACAGGCATATGTAACAACCTAGTGGAGATAATTTTAAATCTTTTAGCTATGTTTGACAACGATGATGAGATTATTAGCATTGCTGTATGTAGGCTTGGGTAACTATCAAGGAACTATCATTTTGTTTTGCATTTCAGGAGGTTTGAAATGGACCGGGAACCTAAAAGTGCCAGATACTGTGCTGAGTGTAATAGGCTGCACCCTGCTGAGGAAGGAGACTTTTGGGCAGAATCAAGCATGTTGGGCCTCAAGATTACCTACTTTGCACTGATGGATGGAAAGGTCTATGACATCACAGGTATACATCTATCCTCTAGAAATATGGGCTTGCTTCATTGCATATGGTTTAATCTATGATGTTTTGGCTAATTATTTCTTCTGTTTGCAGAGTGGGCTGGATGCCAGCGCGTTGGAATCTCCCCAGATACCCACAGAGTTCCCTATCACATCTCATTTGGTTCTCGGATCCCAGGTACCAGTGGTCGCCAGAGGTAGGTGGTATTCCTCAATTACCTATTCACCATTCCGGTTTTGAATGTGGTTTCAGATGATCTGCTGTTTAGAACACCTAGGTACCTCTCTAGGAAGTTTGGGAACTAACTCAATGTATCTGTACCTTAAGTAAGCATGACTCTTAACATTTCTTGTCATATTGTTTTTTTTCCTCCTCAGAGCCACCCCAGATGCCCCTCCTGCTGACCTTCAGGATTTCTTGAGTCGGATCTTTCAAGTACCCCCAGGCCAGATGTCCAATGGGAACTTCTTTGCAGCTCCTCAGCCTGGCCCTGGGGCCACTGCAGCCTCCAAACCCAACAGCACAGTACCCAAGGGAGAAGCCAAACCGAAGCGGCGGAAGAAAGTCAGGAGGCCCTTCCAACGTTGACGCCCCTTCTCTTTTTTCCTCAAATCATTGTCAGGGAGTCAAAAGGGCTGTGTACAGCACAGGATGGAGTTTGATTTGATTATTTTTAAATATTTTAAAAAGGGAAAATGTTAAGCTTAAATTGTTCACTCAGTACTTGTAGGAAGCCCCTGAACCACTCGCCTTCCTCCCCCAGCACCCAGGAACTGAATCTTGTCTTCTGACAATACCAAAGAAATAGGGGGTGGCTAGAGCAAAGAACCTAAGGCCTGGACCTAGGCTGGACAATGTATCCCTTTGAGGTATGGGAATTGGGTATTTCCCTGGGGCCTGTATGCCTTTGTCTTATCATTTGCTTTTATAGCAGATGATATTACCCCACCCCTGCTTTTTAAACTGAGTCTATCTTATTTCTTGACCCATTTCAGGGGGAGGCCCCCTCCTTTACTCTGATATACTAGTTAAAAGACAGAACAAGAAAGCATGTAGCCCTAATTTTGAAGATGCATAGAGTTCAAAGAGTGTAAACTGAACTTTTCCTCTGACTTTACCTTGTGGGAAAATCATCCCACTTCAGGCTTATTGCTGCAAGGATGGCCAAAATTAATAATTTTTAAGAAGCAGACTCATGCCCTGTGCCCTTGGGTGAGGGAAAAGGATAAGGGGTTCCTAGAAGCCCTCTTGTGATCCAAGGGTTTGTATTTTTTTAAGTTTGTTCATATTTGTATGTACATATCTATTTAAAGCCAGGGGATTATCTTTCTATAAATATATAACTGGCAACCTGTATCTTCCCTTTCTTCTTTGCCTATATAGCTGCAGCCCTTTTTTCTCATTTGAGAATCCTTTCCCTACTTTTATGTGAGTGAAGAGGATCTCCTATTGGACCAAGGGAGAAGGGATAAAAAATTGCTTAGTTTTATATAAAGAGTTAGTATTGCATCTTTCCTCCCCAGCATTATGAAGACATCTCCTTACATCTCTTGCTCATTGAATTGTAGCCATCACTGAAAAAGTTACTTTATTATAAGGAAAAGACAAAGCAGAAGCTAGAAGGTGGTAGGGGGTGGAAGATATGGAAAAATGTAACCACCAACAAGCTGCCCAAACTTGGAAACCTTCCTGTTGATTTGGCTCTTAACCCCATCTGCTTTTCCTGATTCAAAGAATCTTGCACATAGCAGGGCTGGGCCCAGGAGCCCCATTTCCCAATCTCCCCTTTCTGAGAGTTTGGGGAGAGGTTGTATACTTCTCGGACTTTCAAGACACACAAAATAGTATGGAGAAGGGGAAGATGTTACAGCCTTTTGTTCCAGCACCTTCTCCATGCCCGTGGAACTGCTCTTAGCCCCATCCCTCAGTATTTGTTAATGCCAAAGAGACGAACCCCATGGAATTGAGGTAACTTAGGCAGCAGTACACTGAGCAGTGAGGTAGTGTTGATGAGGAAGTGAGCAGCATCATATTTGGTGTAGAAGCTGGCCAGGAGATAGCTGGGAGAAAAAAAAATAGAAGTGAGGTTGGCCTTCCACATCCCTGTTCTTGCTTTTTTCAAGTGACTTATTTTAAATGTCCAGTTTTATTGCATGAAATCTTTGGATATCTGAAAATATTCCAGCTATATCAATAGTATTTACTTTGGGACAAAGGAGTAAACACACAGTAGCTTTAACTAGCAATTACAAGTCAGTCTGTTGTTAATGACAAATGGCAATGATAGTTGAAATTGCTTCAGCCTGTATGACTCTTATTTAAGAGTCCTTTTTGCTTCTACTGCCCAGTTTTTGAAGATTAATATCACTTCTGCCTTAATCTATTTGCTTTTAGAAGTGTAAAATTAGTTGGTGTCTTATATTTCTTCAGTTCTTTCTCTATTCCCCTGTGTCCAAGGAGGCAGTGAGGAATGCTTGATTACTGAATTTTACTTTTAACTGTTCTCTATAGGCTCAGGACTAGTGTATCATAGTATCTTCAAAGGGTCTTAGATGAGTGGTCTGCTTTTTAAAAGCTTCTCTATGAGCCATTCCACCTGGTTTTTGGAGCTGTTTCTAATCCAGCGTCTCCCCTAATCCCCAGAGACTCACAGTATGATAGGAGAGATGCTAAGGAATTTGCGAGAAGAAGTAAACTGGAGCCCATAGTCCATCTGCTCCCAGTGCGTCAGTAGCCGAGCCTTTCCTTGGTCAGGGGTTTCAAAGGGTGTTCCTTTTACTGTGTGTAAGAAGATATACATTGCCTGGGAAGAGGGAAAAGGATGGTATTAGGGATAGAAAGTAGTCCTACCCAAGAATTATGCTGAGACCCCAAAAGGAAGATAAAAGTCCCCAATTTAATTTTGTTTCTGATTGGGAAAGACCTGGGGTTGGTACAAGGGCCATGTTTTAGTGCTCACCAAGTTATGGATGACGTTGGTCAGGGTCCAGACAACAGGAATGCTGAAGAAGGGGATGCTGAGTAGAACCACATGCAGCAGTCCTACCAAGATGATGTAGGCCAGCCAGATGCCCCGACTATTCATGACTCGGGTGTTGGGGTTTACTTCACTGTGTGCCACCCCCACATTCATCCTACCACAGTGAGGGATCAGGTGGGAGTCCAACTCAATTTCCTTTCAACCCCTGTTTGAGTTTGTTTCCGATAGTTATCTCCTAAAGAGCCAAAATTCTCTGAATTCTATTGGGAATCAAAGAACTTCCCTATCATGCAGAAAGGAAAAACTGAAGGCTAGGGGGAAAACTTGAAAGGCCAAGAATAGTCCATCCTTCTTGTAGAGACGTGGTGATTTTTATTCAGATCCTTACACTTCAACAAGGCAGTAAGCCTGGGCTTGGGGTGTCCACTTCTAGGAGCAGGGGAAAATGGGAGTATCTCACTTTTCTTAATAAGGAATGATGAAGAGGCCACATATACCCAAAGTTCCAGAAGAGTCGTGAAATCAATCGGGACCAATACAAGGGATTAGAGTAAAGCTATCTGAGTCCCCACCTTTTTCGCTGGGGCTTGTCCGACCTGTCCTAGGCATGTCAGCGGCTAGTAACCTCATTCCTTCCCTCAAGCGTGGAGGCTACAAGAACTTGCCCAGTTTCTAATTTGGGCCAGAAAGGGACCTGAGCTTAGCGCCTTGAGAGTGGTGCCCCAGTTTTGCTAGGGGCAGTTCTAGTCTGAACGTGGCTACTAAAATCGTGCTAACACTCGGGAGGCTGAGGCAGGAGGACTGCAAATCTCGGTGATTTAGCGAGACCCCTTCTCAAAAAAACAAGGCTGGGGATGTAGCTCAGTGGCACAGTGCCCCCCGGGTTCAATCCCAGTATCATAAATAAATAGTACTAGGTCTAACACAGAGGATAGGTAGTTACGAAGCAGCTCTTGCCCTCCCTAAAATTCCCTGAATCCTAGTACTGAGCACACCCCATACAACTCCTAGCTTCCCTCTTCGCTCGTTGGTGATTTTCTAGGGCTCTCTTCAGCACTCCTTTCTCGGTATTTCACGTGCCGCCTCCCGCCGCCCTTTCCTTCCTCCCTTCATTTTCACTCCGCAACCCTTTCCAGTCTATCCATAGCGGAGCCCATACCTGCCAGCTTCAGGAGCACGTCCGTATAGGGTCACGGCGCTAGCTCCTATACCTGTGGTCTCCAGGAAGTAGCCTCCACACCTGCGGGGTCCGTATTGGTGGAACAGAACCAGCGATGTCACCACCAATTGGTTGGCAGACTGTAATGAAGACGGACAATTGGCCGCCCTTTCTGTCATTAAGAGAATTCAGAACCCGCCTTTTTCTGGGTCCCACCTTTCAGAGAGCTGGGAAAGTTGCTGAGGGGCAAGAGAGCGACGCCAGCCTTTGACTAATGGGAAGAGCCTATAGTACGGGGTTTGAGTAAGAGTGGCAACGATTGGTCGGCCTTCAATCTTCACGCCTAGGCGGGAGCTCCCGGAGGCGGAGGCGCGGGGGGGTGGGGTTTGGTGAAGTGGAGGGGTAACAAGATGGCGGCGGAGACGGTGGAGCTCCATAAGTTGAAGGTACCGCGAAGTGAGGGAAGGGGTTAGGTGGGCTCTTCTGGGAACTGAATTCTGGAGAGTGGCCTGCTTCTTCTTTTCCTAAATGTTCTTCTTTCAGGCTTTTCCACTTCATTTCCCGCCGTAGTTCTTTTGTCTCCCTTCCCAGGCCTCCCCTAATTTCCCATTTCTTCTCACAGTTTTATTGGTATCTTTACTTGTTATTTCGTCTTCCTTCCTATTGTTGTATTTCCCGTCACCCTTGCCCACTGGGCCGTGCAAATGCCTTCTATCTGTTATGCTGAACTCCTCGTTTCTCATCAGAACCGCATTACGTCAGTAGTCCCTCCTCCGGTCCCTGTGCCGGACCCGGGACCCGTTTTTCTCCCCAGAATTGATACTTTCCTGTCTGTTGTCTAAAGCTGAGATACTCCTGTTAGCAGATGATACCCTTTTTTTCCTTGTTTCTGTTGGAACATGTCACTAAACATGATCCAGAAAATGCTTCCAATCCCTTTTTATAGGTGGGCTTACGCCCCCTGGGCAAATTTTGAAACCTGCGTGAGGCCGCAGAATATAGACCTCCCTATAATAAAGACCTGGGAATGAGGCAGCCGGAAGAATTTGTAAAAATAAAACTCCTCAGCTTAAAAGTTTTTCCAGTTTTCTCACAATTTACCTCTGACTGCCAGCCTTCGCTCTGGTCACCCCCAACCTCCAGAGAGAAACTCTCAGCCGCAGTATTTTTGAAAAACAGTTGCAAGGTTAGATTATCTCTGCCCTGTTTGATCTTTGATGGACCCTGCATCTCTTTGCTGTCTCCACTGGGTGACACTCTGAATCAGAGTTTTAAGTTGTATCTTTTGGAACTCTTGGTAGTTTTCTTATACTCTCCTGGAAGGAGAGAGTACTATCTTTTAGGAAGAGTTAAATGTCTTGATTATTTGTGTATACTTTTGATTTCACAAGTAGTTTCCGTTAGGTGTTTCCATCCTGTCATTTTGGGAACCTTGGACAAACCAGGCTGATTGAGAGAAAACTGAAAACTGATCTTTTAAATTTTAATGCCTGATGAATTAAAAAAAAGAAAAGAAAAATATGGAGTAAATGTAGGAAAAGGTCCTATCCTTAATCATAAGCCTTTCTGTGAAAGTCTACATATTTCTTAACTATTACATTCTAAATTGTACTAGTGTTTTTAGAGTTACTGTTAGCTTGATGGTGCTGGAATGTGTAAATGATATCAGTAGTCTCCTGATATTTACTTTAACAAGAAAGAAAAACTGAGCAACAACTTCCATTTATATGTGTATATATATGTGTGGTGTGTGTGTGTGTGTGTGTGTGTGTGTGTGTGTGTATATATATACACAATTTGTATAATTTATGTACTTCTGTACTGTTTGTATAAGACACTGAAGATAAATTTTAGATGAATGAGAATTAATATTAATAGAAGAGCAAATATTTTCTTCTATTTGTTCCATTCTTGAAATCCTAGATTAAGTCATTAGCTGCCCCCATGACTTTTTTTTTTTAAAGAGAGAGAGAGGAGAGAGAGAGAGAGAGAGAATTTTTTTAATATTTATTTTTTAGTTATTGGCGGACACAACAACTTTGTTTGTATGTGGTGCTGAGGATTGGACCCAGGCCTCACACATGCCAGGTGAGCGCGCTACCACTTGAGCCACATCCCCAGCCCTGCCCCATGACTTTTTATGGAGTTTTATGGAGTTCCTTTTTCCATAAAAATCAGTATTTATCAGCCCCATATTAAATTTGCATTTACTTGGATAAGTCACTTTTACATAATGTTCTCTGACTTGGTTTTAAGTATTAACAGTCTAAGAGAACATGTGGCACTCCTGAGGGCCTAAACTGGGCTCATTCTTTAATCATATTTTTTTGTGTTTTCTTTTTCTCTAGAGTGCTTCTTAACCTTTTGGAGGTCACAGATATCTTTGAAACTCTGATGAAAGGTATGGACCCTTTTCCCAGAAAAAGGCATGTACACATACTTTGCATGTGATTTGAGGGGCTTCATAAAAATACCTTGTTGACCTGAGGAGTCCATGGACCTCTGGTTAAGAACCCATGCCTTTAATCTTTATGCTTGGTTCCACTGGTGATCTTTTTTTTTTTTTTTTTTTAAGAGAGAGGAGAGAGAGAATTTTTAATATTTATTTTCTAGTTCTCGGCCGACACAACATCTTTGTTGGTATGTGGTGCTGAGGATCGAACCCGGGCCGCACGCACGCCAGGCGAAAGCGCTACCACTTGAGCCACATCCCCAGCCCATCCACTGGTGATCTTGATAGACTAATCCTGACTTTTGGGTTGCTTTAGGGTTTTATTGCCTTTCGAAAAATATCTTTTCAATTTTATGAAGAGAATTTGGGGCTTTAGTATGGGACTTTAGAAGAAAGAAACAAACTTTGAAGTAGGAAGAAAAAATATTTTGTGAATTGATAGGTAAGTCCACATCAACTACAAACTTCTGAAAATTTTTTAGCAATGCAGTCATTCTAACACAGTTGGAAAGAGAGACTGAACTGTGGTTGAAAATGCTTGAACTGTAACAATACCAGACTTCCAGTTCAGCAGGAGGAAAGGAACTGTTGTAAAGGAGAAAGAAAAGTATAGTAGTATCAGAGTGTTGAGTGAGAACTGTTAGACATTTGTATGATTGAAATGTGAAATGCCTTACATTGCTGACTGAAGGTAGTTTAGAAAGTTGATAAATTTTGTGATTAAAAAGGTAAATTGGAGTGATACTGACAAGGGCCTTCTAAATTGTATAAGGAGTTCTGATTCTTGTCATATAGTCATAAGCAGAGCTGGGAGCCTTTGGAAATCTGAATGGAGGAACCTAATATGATTAGTTTGTGTTCTTTTGGCAGTGTGGAAGATGGAATCTGGAGAGGGAAGGATTTCATCAGTTAGATGTTTATTATAGTATTTTCTCTGGCTTAAAATCTTTTAATTATATGGCTACTGATCTATCCAGCTTAATTTCTCACATGGTTACTACAGTGATCTTACTTTATTTCATTTCTTCAAAATGGGTGTGTCATTGATTGCTAACACAAATCATTTACTATGTGGCAAGTACTGGTTGAAGCCATTTGTGTACATTAACTGATCTGATTCTCATAATAAGCCTATTAAAGAAATACCTCTATATCTTCATTTAAAAGTAAAAATCAAAGCCCAGAGATAGTAATCTGACCTAGGTCACACAGCTAATAAATGGGGTGTCATATCCAAACTGTCTTCAAAATTCATATTCTTGGGCTAGGGTTGTGGCTCAGTGGTGGAGAGCTTGCCTAGCACAAGTGAGGCACTGGGTTCCATCCTCAGCACTACATAAAAATAAACAAACAAAATGTATTGTTACCATCTACAACTAAAAATATTTTTTAAAAATTCATATTCTTAATCTCTATGCAGTGCCTTTCCTTTGGAACCCTGAACCTTACTTGTAGTTTACTTTTGGCTGCAGTGCTCCTGCCACTGTTTTTTCCAACTCTTCTAACTACTAGTTACCCTTCAAATAGCAGTCAAACAAGGAGTCCTTCCTGGTTCTATTCACACATATATTTAGGCAACTTTTCATATGATTCTCTAGGCTTAATACTTTTGTTAAAAAATTAAACAGTATTTACTTGATCACTGGTTGTTTTGTTTCCCTGCTAGATTGTAAGCTGGGGGTGTGTGTGTGTGTGTGTGTGTGTGTGTGTGTGTGTGTGTGTGTGTAAGAACTCTTTCTGTTTTGTTCATGATTATTTCCCTGTATCTAAGATAAAACTTGACACATTGTAGGTGCTCAGTAACTGTTTGTCAAGTGAATAAACATATTAAGACCTGAAAGAAGAGAGTAACTATTAGAATGAGAACAAATTTGAAAGAAATTTGAGATGTAAAATCGTAGTATTTGTAGATCAGACGTGGGGGAAATGAAAGAGGATTTGGGATTTATTTTACAAAAGATGGAGTGCCTGCTATGTAATAATTACCAGGGGTTCTGGGGTTACAATGTTGAACAAAGCACAGGAAATCCTTCCTTTCATGGAGTTTACATTTTACTAGGAGAAGGCACAATAAAAAAGTAAAATTTAGGGTGGAGGTATAGCTCAGTGGTAGAGCATGCAGCCTGTGCATATATGAGACCCTTGTTTCAATCCCTAGCACTAAAAGAAACAGTGAAGTTTATAGTATGTCAGATGATGATAAGGTCTATAGAGAAACCTAATAAGAGGTATAAGAGAGTATATTGGGAAGAATATTGTAGTTTTAGATAGAATGACTGAAGATCTTATTGTGAAAGAGATGTTTTAAAAGATTTAAAGCTAGGTTTGAGGTGCATGCCTATAATCCCAGCAGTTAGGGAGGCTGAAGCAGGAGGGTCAGGAGTTTAGGGCAAGCCTCAGCAATTTAGCAAGGCTCTAAAACAACTTAGCAAGACCCTGTCTCAAAATAAAAAATAAAAAAAAGGTCTGGGGATGTGGCTCATTGGTTAAGCACCCCTGGGTTCAATCCCTGGTACAAAAAGAAAAGACTTGGGCTGGGAATGTGGCTCAAGCAGTAGCACGCTCGGCCTGGCATGCGTGGGGCCCAGGTTCGATCCTCAGCACCACATACAAACAAAGATGTATCCGCCAATAACTAAAAATAAATATTAAAATTCTCTCTCTCTAAAAGAAAAGAAAAGATTTGAAGAAAGTGAACCAGTTAGCCATGTGTGCAAAGTTTTAGAGGAATATAGCAGGAGGGTAGTTTGTTTTTTATCAAAGTAAAAAGTTCAAGTGAATAAGAGGTGATAGTAGAGGAGAGGGAGAGCAGATTGTGGGTGGCCTTGTAAACAATACTTGAAACAGTTACTTAACCTTAATGAGATAGGAAGCCAGTGGATTAATTTTTATTTCATTCTTTTTTTTTTTTTTTTTTGTGGTGCTAGGGATCAAATACCAGGCATCAGGCATGCTAGGCAGGTACTCTACCACTGGGTTACATCCCAGTCCCCA